TTTATTCGATTATTTTAAACAGAGTTTTGATGGAATGTAAATATGTTGGCCATTTTGATCAAATTCACTCTACAACAAAAAAAGGCGGTTGATTGGACCCACATTTGAAAAAGCCGTATCTTCAATTATAAATGAAGGAGTATCATGTGAGACGTTTAGAGAAAGAGAAGCGGTTAGACTTATGAAAGAAGGTATTTAAAAATGCGATTTTGTGCAGGCATAATTTAAAATATAATTGATTTATTTAATGGTTTATACACCGTATTTAATTTATAATACATAGTACATACACATTTATAATTAATGTAACAAATTTACATTATATAAATAGCTAGAAAATAAAAAAAAATGGTATGGTTAAAAGAATAGTAACTAAAATTATGTCTAATATATTTTAAGAATCACGGTTTTTTTTTTTTTTTTATAATTATTGTTTTATTAGGAGCTCCAGAACCGGCAATCATTCCTACCGGGATTGCCTTACGAACACTAAAATCAAAAAAAATAAAATCCAATTTAAGACATGCTGATACGTTAACAGCTTTGGCCATTATGCGATCAGAAGAAGAGTACAAAAACTTTTTACACGACATGGGGTGTAGTCCATTTTTTATACATTACCATGGTGTAGAACAAGTTCATTTATATCGAAGCTATTGTCGCAGTGTTTCACATCCCAAAATAATTATTGACGCAACCGGTGGCGTAGTTAAAAATTTTAAGAAGTTAGGAGTAGAAAAGACAAAACATATTTTTCTTTATGAAGCATTAGTTTATGATTCTGAAAAGCAGCACAGTTTCACAATCACAAATATGCTGAGTGAGCGGCATACTAATAAAGCGATTTTAAATTGGCTATCTAGATGGTTAGATAATGACATACCACAGCCTGTAGAATGTGTTTGTGATCAATCCCTTGCATTATTGTCGGCCGCTGTGCAATGTTTTTCTCAATATTCATCTCTGCGTGAATATGTTAATATTCGTGCCAATTTAATATTAGGGGAACTTCCGAAAACGTCTCAATGGCTACCTAGATGTTTTATCAGAATAGATGTTGCTCATTTTATGAAGTTAGCATGTAAATGGACTCCTCTTAAATCTGCTCCTAAAAGAGTTAAAGAAATAATTCTTCGAACAATTGGTTTAATTGTAAAATGTCAATCCCTTTCTGATATGCATTCATTACTGTCATCACTATTTATTACCTTAATAAATGAAACAGATGGAGTTGATAAAGAAACTGGAATTGAAACAATCTGTGAGAAACACAAACAATATTTAATACGAGCGACGTCTACTGGTCTTTTAGATTTTGAAGATCAGTTTAATGACATAATTTCTATGGTAGAAAATGAAGATGAAATCCACGAATTGATTGAAGAAGAATATGATAACCAACAGGAAGGCTTGGATAATATTATAAACCCTTTTCAATCATGGGCTGAAGAAATTTTGAATAAAAATAAATCATCCACACAGGAAGGAACGGGATTAAATGCATTGTACTTGCCGACTTTAGTACCTAAAATTCTCAAATGCATGAAATTATTGTCATTGTGGTCGGGATTAATGATTCAAATATTCGGATATGGAGATGAAACTGCAAGTTCGGCTGCAGTAGAATCGACTTTCAAAAAAATAAAGAATGTAACATTTAAAAATATTGATCTACCGACAAATATTGAAAATTTCATTGAACATCATTCAGCTTCACTTAAAGGTACATCATTATTGCGGACAAGCCGTTACACACATACATCAAAAACAAATAATCAGAATAATGCTCTACCGGTTAATTTAGATGATTCTATTGATTTTATTCTATCACCAATTCATCACGATAATATGGATGAACCAATAGATACATATTTAGTTGTATCGTCAAATTCAACTCATCAAAATAATTCTAGTAGCGGTTGCCCATTATGCAACTCTGGAGATTTTCCATCGAAAAACGGATCACACAAATGTAATAAATGTCATGTACCAGTCCACGCACTTCTCTCTTGCTCAACACACAAACAAGGAAACGAGGAAATTCGATATTGTTTAAAATGCTCTAAGAATGATGAAGAAATAAATGCAGCTTATTTATCAGAAGAAAACAAATCAGTTGAAGGCTGGAATAGAAAACCAAAAAGGCAAAGAAATTTAAATTCTTATCTTTGCCCAAATCCAAATTTACGACATCTTCAAATAAACAATTCAAAAAACATTCAAACTTTGCCTTTGTTGAAAAACAGATCACGAGCACAGGAATTGAAGAGTTGTACAATTAAAAATATTGGAAAAGTTATTTTAAGTAACACTTGCGCATTCGATACAATTTCTTCTATTTTGATGGTAGCTATCTGTGATAGTATTCAATATTGTTGTATGGTTAATGACTGTGATAATATTTTTTATAAATTTATCGCAGAGTTGGTTAATAATGGTATCAGTTCAAAAACATATACTAACAGAGCTGAATTAATGGTATGGTTTAAAATCTATAACTACAAAATAACGAAAGTAATGATAGTGAAGCAAAAAAAAAAAAAATTGATTTAATGTAATTAGATTACTTATTTAACATTTAAATATTTTAGTTATAATCATTTTATACTGTACCTATAATGTATATATATATTATATACTATATAATTATCAAGTTTACACCAATTAACTAACTAATACTACTCAGTACTTAGTACTATACTAAATTTGACTATACAATTAGATAACACATGTTAAAAGTATCACATATACCTAATACTGAAAGAGTTACCCTCCATGTTTATAATATTATCACTGAAGTCAAAAATATTAATTATAATATTTGATCTATTAAAACAAAAATCAATATTTCAATAAGCATTCAATTAATTTAATTAATTATTTAATTAAAATTACCATACGAATTTTAATCATAAGTAATATTTTTTTTTTTTTTTTTGCAAAATCTTTATATATTTGTTTTGTGGATATTCACCAGCAAAATATTGTTATCGTTTTCTTTCATTATTGGGGGATATTGAAATAATTTTACTCTGTGTAATTATTCTAGCTAAACAATTATTTCCTAAACACTACCAACATTTACTTCATTCACGACTACTATCTTCGCGATAAATAAGGTATTCATAGATAGTAATCGTACAATTTTTATTTTTATAACGTTTTATGAATACCATAAAAATGTAAAAAGTTAAAAAAAAATTAAATATTACATAAGATAATAACGTTATGTCATACTGTACAGATTGTGAACAGTAAGAATACTGGATAACAACTACACCATTAATCTACAATATCAATTAGTTGTTACACAAATTGTTTATCTTATTATTAGTTGTAGGTATAGGTATACACATAGGTTAATTATGTTATACCAATGTATGACAGTTTTATTTAACCACTGGTAATGATATTTGATTTGGATTTCGGTATTTTTACTTTACTGTTAAGACTTTCGCTATTTTGTACTTAATCAACTAATAAATATAAATTAAATAAATTATAATAATTTGTTTTATAAAACAGATAAACATTATGAACCCAGAATTGGAATTTTTAGAATATAACACAACTTTAGCCAAATGTGAAACAACAGCAAGTAATTTATTTAATACAACATTGAAAGAGTATCCAACAGCTCATGACTCTATAAATTGTAATATTTCAACATGTGGAAGAACGACTGAAGCTCCAGTTCCAATTATGATTTTTTCATTTACCATAAATGATAGAAACATAGCCGATTTACAGAATTGTATAGATTCCAGGATAAAATTGGAAAAAACAAATTGTGGTTATATTAATAATGAAGGCGAAACATGCCAAGGAGTAAAAACAAAAACAACTGTGATGTCGGCTTTTCATATATTTGTGGAGCTATTAAACTGGGAAGGTATGTATTAATCTAGGTAAATTAATTACAAACTATAAATTAAATTGTTTTATTATTGTAGAAAATACTAGTCTAAATTATAGTAGCGAAGTACTTCCACAACCATCTATTATACTTGAAAATATACCACAGATACTCATAGCATCGGGAAAAACCTATGAGTTAAGAGGTGTGGGCTGTTTCCGTCGTGGACTAAGTCGTCTCAGGACTTCCATTGGACATTATTATGCATGTTGTAAGAGAGGACATAACAAATGGGAAATGTATGATGATGTCCAAAAAAATGTTAAATACATAAAAGGTAACACAAAAGTATCATGTGAATTCCTTTTTTATACTATTTAAATAATAAATAAAATTACATATTTAAAAAAAATTAAACAGATTATTATAAGCTATTTGTATTTTTTTTTATTTTTTATTTTTTTTTTTACTTTTTATTTTTTTTTTTAATAACATTAATTATGATTTAATTTTTATGTAACAAACCATTGTATCTTATACAACTTTATTATAATATTATGCAATAATACCTTATACCTATATAATGTATATCATAATATCAAGAAACAATTTAATAGATTTATTTGCATTTTTATTTATAGTTGCCAGTTAAAATATGATATGTTGTAAAACTCATTATTTCTGAAAATAAAATCTGGTGATAGTATAAACTGCAATAGTCAATAGGTATATTAACACATTCAACTTTATTTAAATAATAATATACTTAGACATGCAATTACAAAACTGTTATGGTCACTAAGTAATTTTGGCGTTAGTAAAAAAAATGCGTAATTGATCATACAAGGTAATGGATGACTAAAAGTCAAATTTCTTTTTATAGTTGTTATATATTAGAAATATTTAATGTTTCAAGTATACAAGATATTAGGGAAGTTAGTACACTCAGTAGTATACTTCTATGTCTTGTTCACATCATTCACTAACCCATAGATATAGTATAGGTATTTGTACACAAAAACTGAACACCTATTGGATGCTTTTCCTAAAACACGTATTTATTACATATAATGTTAAGTAATTTTTTTTGTGTCAATGTAATTATAAACAATGCAAAATATTTTTATTATATGCAAAATAGGAACTATATTATAAGATGATTCACGAAAGTGAAGTGAAGTGGGTGTCGAACGCTGGCTGGCCTGTCAACTCTTGGTAGTTCAACAGCAACTTCAGGGTTGAAGTCATCGAAAATGTCCATGAACTCGAGTTCACCGGGCAGGACATCGACTATCTCGACGTCTGCCGGCAAAACTTCGTCGTCCATCTGGACTTCCATGTTGTCCACGTCGACAATTTCCACATTGTCTTCTTCCATAACGCCGTCTTCCATCACAACTTCAATGATGTGGTCCACATTGTCTTCATCTTCCATCACGACTTCCATGTTCTCCATGTCTCCATGTTCTTCCACATTGACTTCGTCCATAACGCCGTCTTCCATCACAACTTCAATGATGTGGTCGTCCATCATGGCGTTTTCGCCCACAAGGTTAGGTGCAACTTGCACGGGGTCTTCACCTTCAGGCTCTTCAGCCACGCCTGGCACCAGTTGCCGTCCGACTACCTATAAATTAATAGGCGGTTAGTGTAATTCAATTTTAAATCACATATTTATTTATCAATTAATTAATTGTATTAATGGCAGAGTAAAAATGTTTTAGCGTTACTTCATAGTTCTAAAATTTTTATATCTTTTTATTTTATATTATTTATGTTTTACATTTTGATATATTATGTTATATATATTCTGATTTATGTTTTTATTGCTAAATGTAATAAAACTTATTTAAGTATACAACTTTAAAGTAATAATTTAATAATAAAGTAATAGTAATAATAACTTTAGTAATAAAGTAATAATTAAATCAAAAAGTACAGTTGTATATTTAATGTCAATTGTTTAATAAACTATATTGTAAGCATATTTGTCAAACAGATATTAGTTAAAACAATAGGAGCGCAGTTTAAAATATGTTTAGTCATAGCAAAAGAATGGTTCTGAAGCAGTGATCAACAGTTATACAATTAAACAGTTAAGTCAAATGACAAAAGGGAAAACTAATAAGTGAAATAAAAGTGTTGTGTAGAGAGACATGTACACATATATCAAACATTTGTTTGTAAGTGAAAGTAAAACAAAATATTAGTTTAAGGCTATCATTAAATATCATAACATGTAAGTTTAACGTTTAAAGTCTGACTCTATGTCGATCCATAATCAATGAATAGGTTAAAATAAATAGGTACATAATCACAGTCCATAAGTAGTAACTAACAGTTACACATTAAATAGTTAAGTAAAAATAAAAGTGTTCTGTTGAGGTATTAGGTATACGTCATGATCCTCAACAAAAATAATAATCAAATGAACAAATGCCTAACTGTTTAGTTAGTTTAGGTTTGAGCACGTGTAAATCAAGGTAATAGAATTAAATGTGTACGTGATAGTAAAAAAACAATATTAGTTATTATGTATTGTATAGTTTTAGTATGTATATTGGTATGTATGTAACTGACATAATGCTTCTAATGGTATACTTAAGAAGTAAACATAATCATGAACAATAATGATAGTAATAAAGTAAGTTGTAACTAAGAGTTAGCCAGTGTATTAAAGTAATAATTAAAACAAAAAGTAAAGTACATGTCTTTAATGTTGAGTATTAAATTAATGGTACTGAAGCAGTAAAATTGTAATACATGTAATGCTATAGTTAACTCACAGAACACAGTCTGTACGTTAAAGTAAAACAAAAAATTAGTTTAAGGCAATCATGCTTGAATATCTTTAAGCTTCATACATAAGTTTAACATTTAAAATTTACGTTTAAACTTTAACTCTAATACCGTTCATAAGTAGTAATATATAATTAACAGTTACACATTAAATAGTTAGGGTGGTTGAGGATAGTTATATACAATATATAATAAAAACAATAAACAATGAGCAAATCAAAAGTAAAGGAACAAACGTATTTATGTAATAATGTAGTTAACTACAGTGTGTATGTGTATATTAGTATAATGTAGTCGTGCTTTAAATATCCTAACCTAACCCTAAAAAATATTTTTCTTACCTATATACTTATATATCTTATAACTACTATAAATGTAATAAAACTTATTAAGTACCTAGTAACACAGAGTAAGTGGTTAAAGCACAGAGCTTAGTTTAAATTATGTTTAGTCATACTCATAGCATATGAATGGTTCTGAAGCAGTTGTCAAATTTGATTACACATTAAATAGTTAAGTCAAATGACAAAAGGGAAAACTAATAAATAAAATAAAATTGTTCTGTTGAGGTAAAGGTTTTTTAATTAGTTCACTAACAGAACACAGTGTGTAGGTGAAAGTATAAAAATAAACTATTAGTACACAGTTACTCTCATCATATATATATATATATATATATATATATATATATAAGTACATTAGTATTATATTTAAGTGTATTATGTATGTATGTATGTATGTATGTATGTATGTATGTATGTATGTATGTATGCATATGTCCACATTAATTAAACATTCGTTAGTAAGACAAAATATTAATTTAAGGCAATGAATAGGTTATAATAAATATTTAATAATAGTTCATAAGTAGTAATTAACAGTTATTGGAATTGTAAAATTGAATGTACAGGTTAGGTAAAAATTATTAAATGGCGATAGAACAGTTTTAATAGTCAAGTCAAATGCATTTATCATAATTTTTGGTCTTAAAAATATATGTCAGTATGAATTAACCATGGGGCAGTATAGATTGTATTAATTGTATAAATGTACACACAATGGAAAGAAAATATCGCTCAAAATATGTAAGTGAAGTTTTAATAACACTAAAAAACCTTATTTCGTTAATAATACTCAGTGATGTGTACTTAATAATGAACATACACTGCCGCATTCAGTAATACAATCTTTTACAATAATAATGACTTGATATATTCTTCCTGTCGTAGAATAATCTAAAAAATTGTAGTAAGCATTGTAGTAAGCAGGTTTATTGTTGAGATAATAAAATATGTATACTGACTTTTGTTATAGTTAAATAAATAAATTTTAACTTTAAAATCAAGTACCAATCAAAATACAAAGAAATTCACATGTTAGAATGTTTAATTGGTTGAGCATTTATACATATTTATATTTTTTCTAACAACAATAAATTTGAAACATTGCAAAAAACGTATTGCACTGTATAACAGTAAGTGTTATAGTGAAATCATAATATGATACATGTTGTAGTTCAAATCATTTTTCAAAGAGCTGTACAAAATAATGTTTAATTGAATGTGTATTAAAATAATATAAACATTTCTGAGAGTACTACATGTGAAACGATAAAATGCCTATCTAGTACACAACTTACAAATAAAGAAGAGTATACCTAGGTCAGTAGTAAGTAGTAGTAGTAGTAGTAGTAGTAGTAGTAGTAGTAGTAGTAGTAGTAGTAGTAGTAGTATTTTGTTCATTTATTGTAAATACCCAACAGAGAGTTAACTGTGACTTACACTACCTATTTCGTAGGAGTAGATATACAGTTTATCATTTTAACAAAATTAATAAAAATAAAGTGTAATTTAATACAGAATTTTAACTTCCAACAATAAAAAGAAGAATATAGTAGTAAATATGTTACACTGTAGTACAAACAAAGTTAGTTGTATAAATTGCTAACAATAAGACAATATGTGAACTGATAAAATACTTATCCAGTATACAATTCATAAAGAGTTATGTACAGAAACAATGTATATAATATGTATCTAAGAGCACAGTGAATAACTCTTTGATAATTACATACTATGGAATAAAAGTAAACAAATTAAATTAAATTAGCACTGCATACATTTTTGTCGAATGATAGTGGGCTGCACTATCTAACACTATATTAAGTATAATATAGTGAATGTTGTGTAAATTTATCAAACTTGATGTGGTGTTATGAGAAGGCAATAAAGTGAAATGTATATCATGACTTTTGTTATAATATGTCATTCACTTGATATCGTGTATTAAACAGTACCTTGTGTGAGCTTAAAATATGTATTACGTTGAATGTCATTGAGTTAAGTTATTGTCAGGTTGCTAACATAGTAACATACATAGTAGGTACATTATAAGCTCATGAGAGTACACAACAGTATTAGTGATAAAGTGTAATGATTACTGAAGCAGTCGGGCCAGACGGGTATACAGTCATGGTGTACCGCATTGAAATGATATTTATTGAATATATAATGTATACACTCACCAAAGACGGCACTGCTGTGGGCCACAGACGGCGTCGTTCCAAGTTTCCCACTGCGTAGTCAATACCGGGGACGAAATGTCTCGAACACAACTTAGATGTCCACACTGTGTCACTGGAAAACCTTGGTCCACCACAAATGCCACCCACTGAAGACGACGTTGTACGGCGATTGGAAATCTAATTGGCGACACATAATTTATTATTTATTTATTGATAAATTGATATTTAACGTGTTGTGTGAAATACCTGTGTACGGAAACGTCATCGTCGTTGTTGTCCACAACTCCGCATAGCGCGCAGCGTTTGACCATTTTGAATAGCCTAAAAACATCACAAACGAATATAATATAATCATGAAAAGTAAATGCTGAATACTCGTAAAAAAATCGTTGCAATCGAATATGATAACAGTATCAGTTTGTTATGAGCGGTGATGTATGAGACTTGTATTATTTTTAGAATGAATAGGTATACACCGGCTAACGTGATGCAAATAAAAAATAGAAAAATGACATACCCAGCTCGTAGTAGCACAAAAAATAGCGATAAAACACGTGTACTGCAATGGTAACGCGCCGAAACGGCCAACGGACTTACACGTCGACTTCGGCGACAGCTAATACGAATGCGAATATAAAAAACGTTATAGGTATTCAAAGTGTACGGAAAAAACACGAAACAGCGGAAAACGATGTCTGTAGGTGGTGAAACATTATGTTCGTTCGCGATACGCGCCGCCATGAATGCACCTGTAGTTTATCTGAATAGTATATAGTATAGTAGTAGATATAAAAGTTTACTTACCGGTGTGTGAAAAGCGCTCAATGCAGAATAACAAAAGTCAAAGGAAAGCACTGAATATTAATTAATAACACAAAGTATTAGGCTTTTCCGTGACAGTCGATGTGCGTTGCAAGAGGGCTGATCACCTCGTGATCAGGCAGGTCGAAACGGGCGCGTGTCGCGTCGCCAAAGTTGTTCCCCCGCTGCTCCACTCCATCTCACTCCGACCGTATAATGTCGCGTATAAGAACGGTCGCACTGTAGTATCGCAGACCACAGTGTCGCTCCTAAATCGTAATAATATTATTCGCCCACAACAATAATAAGAAAAAACGACCGCCTGACCTACCGTACCCATATTTACCTACGTGTTTACGTTTTTATACTTACGTATTTAAACGTAAATAAGTGTACACGTCATTATGTGTCAAGGTATCCGGTACCCACCTAACGCAAGCATGGTGACCGTTATGTTTATAAAGTTACATTTTTAGTATATTGGTGACTTTCAACAGGTACACATGTGGGATAATTCAATAATTGTATATGTACCTATATCATACATCATAATGATATATATATATTATATATATTATAAATATGACGTAAACATTGAGCATATTATATTCAAGCCTAATATAATATAGGTATTCATGCGCTCTCCGCGAAGTCAATCGGTCCCGGGTAACGGGAATAACGGCAAACTTATAATCAGACTTATTAAAGGCGGTAAAGCCGTCGGGTTCGAACGTACGACCACGGGTCATCCACACTTGCGCCTTAACCTACCTATCTACTGAGTTGAGAACCGGAGTCAAATCTATGACTCTTAAACCGTTTCAGCGCCCCGGTGAATTCCGAACGCGATTTCGACGTCCGCTTCGCGCGCCGTAGCTGGCGATCTGAGCCCTCGGACGTCGATTTTGCGAAAAAAATAGAACCTCCCGACGCACGTATATATGCCTGTATACAGTGATACCTATTCGACGGCGGAGCCGCGGGACGTCCGCTTTCCGCGACCCCGCTCCGCCACGGGACTCGTTTTTTTGAGAAGTTGAGAAGTAGTGTCAAATCAACGACTCTTAAGGTACGTTTTCTCTGCAGCGTTCGTCGCTGCGTCTAGAACATTTGACGCGGCGTTTGGCGACAGCACTGGTCTCGGACCAGTGTACCGCGTCGAACGCCAGCGACAACATGTCGAAAAAGTTTATTTTTTCGGCTGCTGAAGACGAAATTCTCATGGATGAAATTCAAAAAAATAAAGTTATTTTTGATAGTTCAGATTTGAACCATAAAGATAAAAATTTTAAAGATTCCATATGGACAGAAACAGGGATAACTTAACAGAAATAGTAAGTACAAAATAAATTATATTAATTAATCATTTATAATTATTTATTTATATAATATTATGTAGATTATATAGGTACCGCTATTATTTCGTTATTAAAATGTTATTTTTTTTTATATTATATAGTTGATGACTGTAAGACGAGGTGGAAAAACATGCATGATACGTACATGAGACAAAAAAAAAAATTGCCTACTGGGTCGGCGGCTTCAGGTAAAAAAAAATGGCCTTTGATGGATAATCTATCATTTTTGGACACAGTTGAATATGAAAGAAAGTATGTAAAAATAGAAACTAGCTAGATTATGTATTTTAATTTACCCATACCTATTAAAATTAATTAAAATTAAAAAAATTATTTTAGAACTTCTACAAATGTTGAAACGCAAAATATTATGTCCAACGATTCATTCAGAGATGAAGAAGACACCGTGGACGTGGAGAATGAAAGTAACAGTGAAGCGGATATACCCAATTTGCCAGCAGTGTCATTTGGAGGGAAACGATTACGGTCTAAAGATGATAAATTATCGGCAATATTAGCCAAGAGATCAAAACAAAGAAATGAAATGTTATCAAACATCCAGGCACAAAATAATTTACTAGCATCACAAAACCCGCAACAAGAGGACGAAGTCGACGTTTTTTTTAAAAGTATTGCCATGACCGTCAAAAAATTACCTTCGAGGGCAATCAACGAAGCTAAACTTCGAGTACTGACAATGGTGAATGAGATGGAAGAAAAATACGTGGTTCCTGATCATACTAAAATAATTCGACCTGATTATATGCTGCCTTTAAATATTAACAACATGACACAGTGGCTATCGCCGGTCAACTCCTACAACACTGCTGCATCGAGTTCTTCATCTGGATTTATTCAATACAACCATGATAGCAACAGCATGACACAGTGTTCATCACCGGCCAACTCATCCAACACTGCTGCATCGAGTTCTTCATGTGGATTTGTGCAATACAACCTTGATAGCAACAGCATGACACAGTGTCCATCGCCGGCCAACTCATCCAACACTGCTGCATCGATTTCTTCGTGTGGATTTGTGCAATTAAACCATAATGAAAATAAGTAGGTACCTACCATAGAGTAAATAGTATACCTACATATTTGTTTGTTATGTTGTATACTTTATATTTTATAAATTAAAATTCAAGGTTATTTTCGTTATTTTTAATCATCATTATTTATTAAACATTTAAAGCGATTAATATTATTTATTTTTATTATATTTAACTTGTGAGTTTAAAAATAAAGCCTTAATTCAAGAACATTTAGGTTATTTATGTTATTATCTGATATTTATTTTTGTTGTTAGAGATAGCTATTACTACTATAAATAAATGAACACAGTACACACAATATTATCGTAATAATAATAATAATCGTATTTTTATTTTGATTTACATTTGCCATGGTACAGCTCCTATATTTGCAAAATAATCTTTAAAAATATCTCTTACTCTAACTCCTTCCGTATTTATAAATCCACCTTCTCCAGAAAATGACATCATGTTATTATTTTGAGTTGAACATTCCTGATCAAATTGATAGTATGCTTTTCCGTTATTTTCCAAGTATGCGTCCCGTAACATATTGTGTAAACAACATGTCACAATAATTAAATCATCAACCGTTGTTGGAGCAATATTGATTGGCTGATAATACACTCTAAATATTTGACTTAGTAACCCAAAAGCATTTTCGGTTACTCTTCTAGCGCGGCTAAGTCTATAATTAAAAACCGTTTTGCTGTTATCTCCCCTTGCTGATTTTTGAGAAAACGGTCTCAAAATATGTTTATGCAACCTAAATGCCTGATCTCCGAGTACAACGTGAGGTACTATTATATCAGTACCAGGAAGGGCACTATCTTCTGGAAATTTGAATACACCGTTTAAAATTTGTTGTCCCATAGTAGATTTTAAAAAAATACCGCTGTCTCCTTCTCTCCCATATGACCCGACATCGATTGCTACAAATTTGTAATTTGCATCAACCATTGCCAATAATACAGTTGAAAAATAATCTTTGTAATTAAAAAACAAAGAACCAGAATTATTGGGACAACGAATTCTAACATGTTTTCCATCGATTGCAAGAATGCAATTAGGAAAGTTCCACTTCGTCCAAAATTCTTCTGCCCTGGTCTTAAAATCAATCATATTTGGATCTGGTAAAAAAATTGGCATTAAATTTTGTTTTAAAACGGCCAATGTTTCTTTTACGATTATACTGATATAACTGTAGGATATACGAAATGCAAATGCCAATGAACGGAAAGATTCCCCGGTTGCTAAATATCTGCAAAAAAAAAAAAAATGAATTAACTGATTATTTAGATTTTATATTTTCCTTATTAATGCTATTAAATTAATTATATCATAGTCTTATAATAAATAAGCAAATATTATTATTGTTAAGTATTGACGATGGAAAACGAAATCATATCGGGAACAAAATAAATACCAATAGGTACTAAAAATAAACAAAAATTAAAACTAATAATTTCCTAGTTTCTCGTTTCCTAGTTCCTAAGTTAGGTTAGGTTAACAAGCCCGGAATAAGCGTTGCATATTTATTTTGGAGGCCCATCTTTATCCCCAAAATGTATTTTTTTAATTCGTCCAATACAGTTTAAAAAAAAAAAATTATTTAAGTATGTAGGTATAGAAGGTAAATTATTATTAATTATAATAAAATAAAATTGTTCTCAATTTTATATCACGAAAAATTACTATACATAATGAACTATGTTCGCCGACGTTTTTGTTAGTAAAAAATTATCCAATAATATAAAGTCGTTAATATATGTAATGATACAATTATTTTGAAGTTAAAGTTGAAAGGCGGCCCACTAAGTGTATTGTGTCCTGGGGCCCAATTCATCCTTAAATTGAATTAAAGTGATAATATTATGATATTATAATTTGTAAAATTTCAATTTGATAAATGTTGTCAATATTTAAAATTTAAATGCTTAAAAAAAATCTTGCCTAGGTATGTATTTTTTATATTTTATAATAAACTGATATTGTACCAATATTTATATTTACCTTAAAGTAACTGCCAATTTTTCCTCAGGTGTTATTGGTTCCTGCCATCGCATTGTTGGTGTCTTTTGTATTTGATTTTTTATCAAAGACAAAACAAAATAAAACTGTCGGCGATTTAAACGAAAAAACTCGCGAAATTTTATATCATCAGTAACAAGATGTCCTTTAATTAATTTTTCGAAAAATCCCTCAGATTTTCTAGTCAAAAATAAATTTGATATTGGGTTCCTTCTTTTATTTCTATGCATTAACAATAATTGATCATCTTCTTCTTCCTCTCTTAACAGCTCCAACATCATTTTATTATTGTTTAGCATTATTTGACGATGCATTTTTTTTAAAATTAAAAATTATAATATTACATAAAAGAAGAAAAACACATTCGCACAGGACAACAGCTTGAATGACTATGAATGATATCGCGGGTGTTTTGTAGAAGTCGCGGCGACTGCACGCTGCAGAGAAAACAGTCGAGTCTCGGGCGTCTGGACGCCGCGTGGTTGCGTCTAGACGCGGCGTTTGGACGCCGCGGCTGATCGCTGCAGAGAAAACGTACCTTTAAGCCGTTTCGCAGGTGCATTTCCCTGGCACCCCCACTTCCGAATTTTGGATTCAAACCAAGGGCTTTCGTTTGTGCTACGTTTGTGCTGGATTGTGCTCGAATTTCATCGTTTGTGCTGCAACCCTTAAGGAGTTATAAGGGATAACGATTGGGGGTGCCAGCGAAACGACTGCACCCCCACCTCAGAATTTCGGATTCAAACCAAGGGCTATCGTTTGTGCTACGTTTGTGCTGGATTGTGCTCGAATTTCATCGTTTGTGCTGCAACCCTTAAAAAGTTATAAGGGATAATGATTGGGGGAGCCAGCGAAACGACTGCACCCCCACCTCACAATTTTAAAATTTAAATTACACCATTCGTTTGTGCTACGTTTGTGCTGGTTTGTGCTCGAGTTTCATCGTTTGTGCTGCAAACCCTAATGAGCTAGAACGGATCTTTAGTGGGGGTGCCAGCGAAATGGCTGCACCCCCACCTCCAAATTTTCAAATTTAAATTATGCCATTCGTTTGTGCTACGTTTGTGCTGGATTGTGCTCGAGTTTCATCGTTTGTGCTGCAACCCCTAATTAACTACAGGGTATCATTAGTGGGAGGGGGTGGTATGGCGCCATAATGCAGCCCCGATTCAAACTATTGGATCTCCAAATGAGCCAATCTTTAGTAGTTTGCTACTGATATCCTGTACCACTTTTTCGACGTCAGTACTCTACTACTTCTGGAGTTATCCTTATAAATTTAATTAGGGGGTTGTAAAGACGTGCCGGCACCCCCCATATTGAATTGTTTGGTCCAAATCAGTCCCATTGGTTTTGACTAAGTAAGTGCTTATTTGTACTCTTTGTCCCATCGTTATTATTATTTACTAGTAAAAAAAGTTAGGTATAAGCCACCCAGAATATGATGTAGTAGGTATTATTTTTAGTGTTAAGGATTTTAAACGAATACAATATTATGCTAATTACCAATTTTCAATAATCAATATTGAATATTAATCAAATAAAAATGTATAAAACCAAAAATGAGTACTGCACACTTTTAAATTTGCTACTGCACATTTAATATTAGCTACTGCACATAGTGTGTGCTACTGCACACAATTTTAGGCCCTGATTTATATATTATAATATGCATGTACCAGGTACCTACATACCGACTCTGTGGGTAGATCGTGTAAGCAGTAAAATATAATATAATAACGCAGTTTCTTCGAACTTTTCGTCGCATTTTTTCATTCCCGTTTATAGTAATAACAACACTGTCTGTTCGAGCACCATCGACATTTGAAATTGTACGTTACTACGCGCCACTTTGGCCCGTGAGGTTGCCAGCACTGCTTACTGCTTATGTGGTCGGTGTGACCGTCGGTGTAACTGACTGCAAGTATGGCCGAACTGCCGTCGGGGTAGCTGAGCTGCTGCATGGCTGATCTGCCGTGTCTCGCTTTTGGGTGCGAGACGGATGCGAACGGATACAAAAACAAAATCATCGAAGACTTACTTTTCGTTTGTACCAACACGTGGTTTTGCTCGTTCAAACTAAAGACGGGATGAACTCCTCGAACAAACCAATTCGGAACGAAAAACAGAAGTGATGGCGACGGAGTCTCGCCGGCCGAACATCAACGGCCTAACGGGCAACCGACTAGTCTCGTCAGCTGTAAGCAGTGCTGGCAACCTCACGGGCCAAAGTGGCGCGTAGTAACGTACAATTTCAAATGTCGATGGTGCTCGAACATACTCCCCCTTGGAAATCCCAGATCTGGATTTACGATGGGTTTGAGCAGTTTGAAGTTTCAGGGCGATACAAATGATTGATTGACATGTTGACTCTTCACGCTTACCCAGAGTGGTTACAGGGGGGAAGATACATCAACAACCAATTATTATACAAAAGATTGATATACATATTATGGTAACTGTAGAATCACAGGTTTATCACATGCCATACAATTACAACTTATCACAGCTTACAAAATTTCAGCAATATCACAGAGGATTACATTATGGTATAGTTAAACAAAAAAAAAAACAGACAACTGTGAATCAACAACTGCCCTAAATTATAACATCATATAAAATAAATTGTTAAAGAACAAACAAATAAACAAACAACCTGTGGATCAACAGTTGTACTAAATAATAACATTATGTAAAAAAAATTGTTACAAACAAACAAACAACTGTGGATCAACAGTTGTACTAAATTATAACATCATATAAAATAAACTGTTAAAGAACAAACAAATAAACAAACAACCTGTGGATCAACAGTTGTACTAAATTATAGCATTATGTAAAAAAAATTGTTACAAACAAACAAACAACCGTGGATCAACAGTTGTACTAAATTATAACATCATATAAAATAAATTGTTAAAGAACAAACAAATAAACAAACAACCTGTGGATCAACAGTTGTACTAAATTATAACATCATATAAAATAAATTATTAAGAAAAAATTAAGAATCAGTCTGAAGAGGTTTGGTGCCTGGCCCCAAAACAATTCTCTCTCCACACACCTCCCCTTTTTTTTAATGGATACAACTGATATGCTGTTCCCGGTGAGCACACATCAATTATTATTAAGGTGTCAAAGGAAAGGGAATAAACAAAAATTATTATGACTGATCGGTCGGCAGCAGTACTAGTTTCACTACAGGTCTGACCAAGGAACCACCTTTCGTTAGAACCCGAGCGACTCTAACCACCCCATCCTTACTAGGCATCACCTCAAGGATACGCCCCAAACGCCACAGAAGCGGGGGTGCAGTGCCATCTTTTATGACCACCATGTCTCCTACCTTCATATTTTCTTGGCTTGACAACCAGCGACTCCTAGCTTGCAGAGTATTCAGGTATTCTGACGACCATCTTCGCCAAAAAGTCTGAAACGTTTGCTAAAGGAGCTTCCAACGTCGCTGTAGATTCATTGGCTTCCCACAGAGTTCCTCCTCAGGAACTGACATCAATGGTTGACCAATCAAAAAATGGCCTGGGGTCAAACAGTCCAAGTCCTCCGGATCTGGGGTCACAGGAGTTAACGGTCTGGAGTTTAGCGCAGCTTCAACCCGACATAGGAGTGTAGAAAACTCTTCCAAAGTCCAAGTCTGTGCCCCCAATGACCTTGTCAGCAATGATTTGGTAGACTTTACCGCAGCCTCCCAAAGTCCTCCAAAGTGGGGTGCACTAGGCGGGTTAAAGTTCCAGTGACACATCAGACGACTGGAACATTGATCCCTACTCGAGGGCGAGTTGATCAATTCTTTCAGCTTGCGAGCAGCCCCAACAAAGTTTGTCCCACAATCCGAGTGGATGGATGTTGGCACACCTTACCTGGCAACAAATCTGTCCAGTGCCGCTAAGACCACATCAGTTGATAGGTCAAGTACAACTTCAAGATGAATAGCCTTTGTACTCATACAAACAAATAAGGCTATGTAAACCTTGTATTGGCGAGCTTTTCGTAACTTTGTTTCTCTCATTGATAATGGTCCCGCGTAGTCAATTCCCACTGCTGTGAATGCTCGACAGGCTTGTACTCTTGATACAGGCAGATCAGCCATTTTTGGTTGAGGATTCACTGCATCCAACCTTACACAAGTAATGCAGGACTTGATAGCCTTATAGGCCACCCGGCGTACGTCCATGATCCAGAAACGACTATTGATTAAAGTGATAAGGAGCCTTGATCGGGCATGACGTGCATTTAAGTGCCAATGGCGTGCAATCAACGCGGATAGATGCGATTCTTTAGGCAATAGTATTGGGTGCTTGCGATCCCAAGAGCACATGGCATTCTGCAGCCGACCGCCCACTCGAATAACACCAAATTGATCGATAAAGGGGCTAAGTTTAGCATACACCTTTGAAGAGACCGAGCTGCCACTTGACAATTCCCGAAGTAGAGAACTCAACATGCATTCCTGGGTACATTTGACTGCCACGTACAAGGCCTCATCTAGCTCTGAACGTGTCAAATGACCAGAAACAGTTTCTTGCCGTCTACATCTTAAAATGAAGCGACGCAGTCGTGCTATTACACGAATCATGATGCTGTATGATGAAAACCGCGTAAACCACTCTCCTTTCCTTATTGGTGTCGTAATCACAAGGGATACTGGGTGGACTTCCGGTAGCTGGTCACCTGGTATGGTAGTTGGATGGAGGTCCCAATGATCGACTGGGAATCTTAAAAATTCTGGACCGGACCAATACAGCTGAGCGTTTACAATTTCTGCCGGAGTCAGTCCCCGTGTCAGCACAATCAGCCGGGTTTTCTTCAGATCTGACATGAGCCCACTTGCAGACTGGAAGCAAAGTCTTGATATGGTGGACGCGATTGGACACAAAGACCTTCAAGGCAACGTGAGGATTTAGTAACCAAGAAAGGACTATGGTTGAATCCGACCAAGCATAAACACCTGATATCTTCATATGCGCTTCAAGTATCCGATGCATACGTGATAACCAGGAAGCCAACAAAACAGCTCCACATAACTCCAATCTGGGTATCGTGGTCGTTTTTAACGGTGCCAGTTTGGTTTTTGCTCCGAGCAAGTACACGTTTACCTTCTGAGACGGATCAGTCAAACGAAGGTACAAAACTGCAGCATAACCTCTTTCAGAGGCATCGCAAAAACCGCATAACGAGTATTCTATCCCGGTGGAACCACCAATACAACGTGGAATGCGGATCTCTGCCAGCCAACCTAGCATGTCCATGAATTGTTGCCATTCCTTAGCGATGACTGGCGGTAATGGCTCATCCCAGGAAGTTTGAGCAGACCATAATCGTTGCATAGTACACTTGGCATGGAAAATAACAGGCGATAGAAACCCTAACGGGTCAAAGATCCTCATGATTACCGATAGGACCCCACGTTTGGACAAAACTGACTTGATTGCGGTAATATATGTTTACCTCCAACAAATTTCTCATAGTCAATAAATCACTCGAACCGACTGTTCCTACCGATTCATATCACCCTGCACTTTGCATATCTCTGTCCAATAGTTCTAGTAGTATACCATGTGACCGTAGCCAATCATTTTTTAATTTTAATAAAGCAGATTATTTAAAAATCAGTTCTTTCTTGGGATCTTTTGACTGGTATTCTACCTTTCATCCTCTTGATATTGATTCGGCGTTCAACACTTTTTACGACGCTCTGCACCAATCTATACTTGAATTTGTCCCTAAGTGTACATTCCGCAAATCGACATATCCGCCTTGGTATTCCCATGAATTGAAACAAATTGTTGCGTTAAAGAAAACGGCCCACGTAAGATTCAAGTCATCTCTAAGCAGTCATGATTACAAAGAATTCTCATTTCTCCGTGCTAAATTAAAATACTTTTCAAAAAAATGTTTTCTCGACTATGCCAAACAAGCAGGTTACTCCTTAAAAAATAACCCAAAACAATTCTGGCAATTCATGAACAATAGTAGATCCAATCACAAGGATATCCCTAAAGTTGTTTCTCTTAATGGCACATCCTCTTGTAACGAGCACGAGTCAGCTGAGATGTTTTCTTCCTACTTTTCCTCAGTTTATTCTTCCAAGGTGATTCCATGTGACTTTGAAAGTCCAGACATTTACTCTTTTGACCTGCCAAACAACGTCTCTTTAAACTTAGATGATGTCTACCAAAAATTATCTCAACTACATTGTAACAAATCTGTCGGTCCGGATGGCCTACCTGGTGTATTTCTTTCCAAGCTGAAATCCATTATATCTTACCCCCTTTGGATTCTTCTTAGGCGATCACTTGATGAAGGCATCTTTCCACACATTCTTAAACTGGGATCTATAACGCCAATTCTGAAGTCCGGATGCCCAACTGATGTCTCCAACTATAGACCCATCTCAATTTTATCGCATATTGCCAAAATGTTTGAGTCATTGGTCCAAAAGGATATTCTTAGATCATTCAATAATATTATTATGGAAGAGCAACACGGTTTCCGCCCTGGTCGTTCTACTATCACTAACAGCCTAATTTTTCATAATTATTGTTTCAAAGCTTTCCAACATCATTCACAGGTGGACGTTATTTACACGGATTTTAATAAGGCCTTTGATACCGTGAACCATGCTGTCTTAGTGAAAATTCTAAAAGATTGTGGCACTGGTGAGCCGCTATTGTATTGGCTTAAATCCTACCTAGATAACAAATACCAATGGGTTAAACTACCCAATGTTAAATCTAATGTGTTCTTTACCCCCTCCGGTGTTCCCCAAGGTGGACACCTGTCCCCTTTGCTCTTTTCCATCTTCATCAACAGCCTTAGCAAAACACTAAAACACTGTCAAGTTTTATGTTTCGTGGACGACATCAAGCTTTTTATGAAAATAAACTGCATTGAAGACAGTCTTAATCTACAAAGTGATTTAGATAGATTTGTTGCTCTTTTTGATAAATTAGGTTTGTCACTGAACCTAGGTAGGTGTAAAGCCATGACGTTTACTAGAACCCGCTCTCCATTAACGTTCTCCTACCATATCAATGAATCAATAATTTCTCGCTGTGATGGATTTACGATGGATCTTGGGTTCAAACTCTCCAGTAACCTTGACCCGGGCCTTCATATTGAAATGGCTTGTTGCAAAGCTCTAAGAATGTTAGGTATAATAATGAGATTGTCAAAGGACCTTAACCTAACTTCGTCATTGAAAGTTTTATACTGTTCGTTAGTTCGGCCAATTATTGAATATGGTGCCATTGTTTGGGATCCCCATACTGCCGACAATGCTTGCCAGGTCGAAAGGGTACAGCGCAGTTTCTTGCGATTTACAAGCTTCCTGTTAGGCATAAAATCTCCACCTCATGATTATTCCCCAGTTGCTATTCAGCTTAATCTAGCCTCACTGGCAGAGCGCAGGCGCATTATGGGTAGCAAGTTCTTGAATGGACTGTTAGATGGTAGTGTTGATTCCCCAACTTTACTATCCTTAATTAATTTTAAAGTACCCCAACGCTCCACCCGCTCCATTACTCCATTTCATGTCCCTTTTTGTTCCACCAACTACTTACTAAATGAGCCTTTAAGGCGTATGATGCATAATGCCAATCTGGACCCCACTTTCTCTTTTAGTTAGCTCTGTCATATTTATTATTATTGAAATGCATATGTATATTTTTAATATTATTGTTATTAATATTATTATTTTTTGTTATTTTTTTCATCTTCTATTTACTTTTCTTTCTTTGTAAACCATATTATTATCAGTTTTTTCTATGTAAAAAAAGGGCCTAGCCCGTATATTCCAATAAATAAATAAATATCGTATGCGAAATGATCCGCAGTTGGACGCCATTGCATACCTAGCACAGGAATGCCGTCACCACGGTCAAACGTGAGGGGATCACCTGCTAAGTCTTCCAGCGGGAGACCTGATAGCAACCGCGGTTCATTGCTAGACCATTTTTTTAACATTAATCCCGATCTGGATAACGTTTTGATTAAATCAGACTTCAAAGATAAAGCACATTCCAACGATGGTGCCCCAACACAGATGTCGTCCATGTATGTCTGGGATTTGAGCGCCTTACTAACTTCAGGGACCTCCTCACAATCATGATCAGCTATATGACGAAGGACCCGACGCGCTAAATAAGGAGCACTGTTCACCCCATAAATCACCGTATTCAACGTGTACTCCCGGATCTGGAGCTTTGGAGAATTTCTCCACAGTATATGCTGGTATCCGCGGTACTTTTCCAGCACCCAAATCTGGCGGTACATTTTACAGATATCTGTGGTAAACGCGACGGTATGGACTCTAAAGCCAGTTAGGACATCCACTATGTCTTGCTGTAACTTTGGGCCAACATGGAGACGCTCATTCAGTGAGGAGCCGGATCTGCAACGAGCAGAGGCGTCAAAAACCACTCTTAATTTCATATTTTCCCCTTCGGCCTTGTAAACAGCATGGTGAGGGATGTAGTAGACTCCTGATGAATCTGCCTCTGACATTTGTCCTAACGATTCATATTCCACCATGAACTTTTTGTAGTTATCATACAACACAGGGTCTCGAGATAGTTTGCGCTCCAATTGTAACAGACGATTAACTGCAATTTGTCGCATTCCAGGAAAAGAACTAGGTTGACCATCACGGAACGGCAATGGGACCATGTACTGTCCTTTACTATTCTTGTACGTCTCTGACAGAAAGATTTCTTCACACTGACCCTCTTGAGTGAACACGGGCGGAGCAGCTTCCGGTTCCTCAACGTTCCAAAATCTTTCCATTAGGGATTCAACTGATGAAGATATCTGAACAGGTAGGGCCCTAGGATTTGGAGCCTTTATGTATTGAAGTGGACCTACTATTGCCCAACCGAAAATGGAATTGAACGCAGTTGGATATCCATGACCTAACGAGACAGTTTCGTGAGACCAGACCATAGGGTATATGTCTGCACCTAACAAAATTTCGACAGGAGCCGTGACATCAAATAGCGGATCAGCTAATGACAAATTTCCACATCTTTCCCGAACCGTTGACGGTAGTTTTGAGGTGGGCATATCTGAAGTTATGGAAGATAGTACCCAAGCTCTTACAGGCATTGAAGATTGACTTGAATCCCGAGGTTGGATATGTAGATCTACGATACCCAAAACGCTTGGCACAGGTAACTCTGATAACCCAGTGACTGGTAACGTCCATTTTGCAGCTCGTAGACCTAGTCGATGACAACAATTTGCAGATATGGCACTGATCTGTGAGCCGCCATCAAACAAGGCCCGAACCGTCTGTGGACTTCCAGCCACATCTTGGACATGAAGTAGTGCAGTTGCTAGTACTACAGATGGCAGTTGATTTTGATGGCTGACAAACATAGCCACTTTAGGGACCTTGGACGACGGATCAGAAGTAGAAGGGTCCTTATGCAATAGCCCATGATGACGACGTTTGCACACACTACAGGATGACTTGCATTTATATGACATATGACCACTTTCAAAGCATACCAAGCATAGTCTGTGAGAGCACACAATTTGGTATCGATCATCTACCGATAATCCCAAAAATTTTGAACAGTCTTTCAATGCATGAGCTCCCCCACAGCACCGACACCTGTCGGATTCAGTAGCTTTAGGTTTCTGGGTCTTTACAGATGAAACCAATGCTGTCTGGCTGGTCGAAGGGCGATTGTAATGCTTCATTGAACCTGGATTAGGTTTCTTGTTGCTACCACCAAACGACTTCCCTTGCCCTGAAGTACCACCAGCATTTTCTAGCACTCTCACCCTATTCTTTACAAATTCCAGTACACTGTCCACTGATGGGTACTCCGAAGAATTATCTGATTCAAACAAGCGACGCGTATGAGTTGGAAGGGATTTTGAAGCAATGGTAAACAGCAGGAACGAACACAGGTCTGGCAAGTGCAACGATTCCAATATTGCTAGTCCTTCATCAAATACACTCAAGAAACGTTTGAGATCCACCAGCGATTCTGAAGTGGATACGGGAGCAACCAAAAAACCCTCAATGATTGACGAGGCCAGTTTTCTTGGTTTATCGTATGACTTTACTAATGTGTTCCAAGCCAACTGGAAGGTGTCTTTGGTCACTGGAATCCCTTTTAGTACTTCACCCGCATTAGCTTGAAGGCACCCAAGTAAGTAGTAAAATATGGTGCTGTGTGAATCAATGTCCGTGTTGCGGATTACAAGATCAACAAAGCGGTCCCGGAAGTCTGGCCACGAACGGAGATCACCGTCGAATTTTGGCAGAGGGATTTCCGGAAGGCGCATTGATACTTGAGGACGGAAGGAGGCATCTGAA